TTGAGGTCATGTCTCCAGGTCTCAGCTGTTAGGCCCTTTAGGAACTGTTCATGTATAATGAACATACAGGAAGCCTGCAGTTTCTCCTTAGCAACACTGTCGCAACCGTTGATGTTGAGCAAACTAATTATAGAGGAGCTGCAATTATCACAGTTTGACACCTTACTAACCTTTTGATCCTATAAGAAGTTAACCAGTTACCACTACAGATTTGTTGATTTTAAATTTCTGAACTACAGCTCAGTCCATTCCTACACAGTACTAGGTATCACTGTATTTTCAGAGGTACAGCTCTTTATACGAATTGTTAAACCCATGTTCCATACTTCTGTTCTTCAAGGTGACAAGTTTTTCCTTGGTATCCTAAACAGCAATTCTCCAGATTAATTGCCTATTCACAACATATTGAATGTATTGGAGTGTCAACCTTGTCAATGACCTCAAGTCCTGACATGAGGCTTGGACCTTCAACCTCAAGAGAAGGCGTGTAATTGGACTTGTGGTACAGATCAGCCATGATCTTATAGAATGGCGGAACAGGCTTGAGGTGCTGGATGGCCTACGTTTCTATGTTTGTACGAGAATGAAGTTTCTCCCGGTGTCCTGGCCAACAATCCCCCAAATAAAATTGGTCACTCATTCCATGGCTGTTAATGGTAAATTGCTATGTGCATATTAGTTGCTGCATTCGCACATAAAATATGTACAGTCACATCACTTTACAGCTTATCCCGTGAAGCACTTTAAGATGTCTCAACAATGTGATAAGGTGCTATATCAAATGCAAGAATTATTATTGTCATGAGTCTCAAGAAAACCTGCAACTCTATCACTTAGTGAACCATCAGTCTTCAAGTCATTAAACATTGCAAATACAGCACCTCTGTCACTTGAGTCTGCTTTGTAGAGGCCAAGACTGGATAAAAAATGTCATCGACCTGAAGCTTAAATTGAAGGCACATGGGTGAAGAGGTCAATACATCCATCTTTAAAAAGGTTTTAAAAATGACCAACATTTATCTCTGGCTTTTGACAGGAAAAAGGAATAGGAGCACAGCATGTGAAATGAATTAACAATGAAACTTGATCATAGGAAAGCATGAAATAACCTTGCTAACCCTCTGCATACAGTACATAGATATATAATAATTCTTGTATTTGATTTCACACCTTATCACGTCGTTGAAATGTTTCAATGCGCTTCACAGCATATACATTAAATACAGGATATAGATAAAAGAAAGAACAGAAAAAGATCCCTGAGATCTATCAAATTCACTTCTCCTATTCCACCTTCCACTCAAAATTCATCAACTATTCTCACCTGTTGTTGGCCATTCAGTCCCCCTTTTGGGGAGGTGAAAAATCAGGGGAAAAAAACAAAAACAAGGTAAATTCATGGTACCAGGCAGTCCCTCTGGACTGAGAGTCCCAAGCCCACCCCAACATGCAAGTTCTCTCATCTACCTCTACAAACCAACTCTAACTTCAGTCACTAAAATATCTGCTGCTAGTGGCAGTTCTGGTCCTTGTATTGTGAAAGCTGGCAATTCAATACAGTACGTTCCTTTGTTTACCTAGCAGTAATAAGCGCTTTGGGACATCCTCCTGATGTGAAAGACGCTCTATAAATATCATTTTGTTGTTGTTGTAATAAGGAACCTGGTTGTCAGTCGATTGGCGGATTGCTTTCCCGAGGGGTAATAAACCCTTTAAAAAAACATTAGGTCATTCAATCCATGATTGTTTTGGGGACAGTGCTGTGCGGAATTGGCTGTGGTGCTTCACCCACAAAACATACACTAAATTCACTTTACAATATTCTGTGAAGCGATTTGAGACGTTTCAATGACATAAGGTGGAGTCATGTAGCTTTGTTGTTAGAGTGCTCGCCTCAGAAGTGAGAGGACCTGGGTCAATTCCTGGGCAGGGCAAAAGTGAGTCACTTTTTAATATCTATCTCAGCCCAGCTCAACTTTTTAATTTTTCACTTGTCCAACTGCACATCTTGAATACTGCACTATACATTTTTCGACAAAACAATGGGTCCGTACATTAACAGCAAAGCAAGAGGATGAACTGACCAGAAATAATCTCAAAGTTATTTTGATTTTATAAACAATCTTCTTCATTCTCTGGATATTATTAAACCTTCATGTCTAAAACTCCCTTTTGACTGTCTTTATCATGAAGATTATTTTTTTTTCTGTGGTTCATTCCTTATATCAACTTACTTGACCTGTTACTGATGTCTTGAAGGATTATAGCATGCTTTCAGAAAAAAGACTGGGGTAGAAAAAGATACCACCAATATGATTCCTGCAGCAGCTCAGACTCATGTGTTACATTTACATTGAACTACCTACATGCTGGTGAATTACCAAAGGAGTCATACATATGAACAACAACAACAATAACATTGCATTTGTATAGCGCCTTTCACATCGGGAGCATGTCCCAAGGCGCTGGACAATCAGTGTTTCGGGCTCGAGCTGGCAGGATCAGGGAGTGTGGAGAGCAGCTGGAAAGGAGGGTGACCAAAGGCACGGTCGAAGAGGAGGATCTTGAGATGGGTCTTGAAGGAGGCAAGGGAGGGGGTGATGTGGAGGGACTGCAGGATGGCGTTCTAGAGGGTGAGGGCAGAGTGGCAATGGTGGGGCAAACGAGGTGGGGAACGTGAAGCAGGCCTGAGCCCGCTGAGTGAGGGAGCAGGCAGGTTGGTGGGGGGTTTGAAGATCGAGAGGTAGTGGGGAGCAAGGTCATGGAGCGCTTTCAAGTTGTGGACCAGGATCTTGAACTGTATCCTCTGTGTGATGGGAAGCCAATGTGGTCAGGCGAGGATGGGGATGATGGGGTCATGGAGCCTGGTGCGGGAGAGGACACGGGCTGCAGAGTGCTGGATGTCATGCAGTCTATGGAGGGAAGAGTTGGGGAGGCCGACAAGCAGGGAGTTTGCTTAGTCAAGCCTGGATGCAATGAATACACGTACGAGGGTCTCGCCGGCCTGCAACCCTCATAATATAATATGAATCAGATGGTAAAACAAAATGAAGAAAGAGATGGAAAGTGCTTTTTTTTAAAAAAAATCCAAAAACGAGGCAGGAGTCTGACAGAGATGGCCTTCTTCTGCGCAGCCCATTTCTATGTGTCTGATTAATCGTTGCAAGAATTTAAATTTGCAGGGAATCGACCCTATGCTAATGATGTGGAAACGACATGATCCATGTTAACCATCGCCAATTGAGATTTTCTTAATAGTGTTTTAAGAAGGGATTTACCAAGATAACTGTTTTTGAGTCGCTGCACTATCGTTGTTGTTTTACACCCATTTGCAAGAGTAGGAATGGTGGGAGACACAGCGAAACCTTTCCTCATCGTTCAAACCCTGACAGTCCGCGCATTTTCTCGCCACAGCATTGATCAGAGAAATGCATTGACGCTCAAACCGTGAACCCAAACCCGCGCAGAGCTCCGGTGTCTTTGTCTGCAAATGGTTGGGTCACGAATTTTGAACACTCGTCGCATTGCAAACCTCCCAACTGTAGGAACTCGGGATGGTTTGCAATGCAGTTGTTCAATGGGAGTATTATAAAGGACAGAGAGTGGGGTTTGGAAATGCTTTCGGGGGAGGAACACACACACACACACACAAAGAGACGCGTATTTTTGTAATATTTAAAGGTATTGCAGTTTGCAGAGGGTCGCCGAGCTTTCCTTTGTGATGGAGGGCAGAGTATTTGTCGGAATCATTGAAGATGTGGTGGGGGGTGTGGTGGGGGGTGTGGGGTTCAAGGGGACAATCTGTTTCCAGTGGAAACGTATTATTCTGTGGAGTCGTCAGTGAATGCATATTCCCCCCTTCCTCTCTCTCTCTCTCACTCACTCACTCACTCCCCTCCTCCTCCCCACATTGTGCAGCGACTCGAAATTTACGAAGGAAACGTGGGAGTCGGTGACATCCCGGTCCATCAGCACCAGCGGGTCAGCTCCGGGTGGGGTCTGATTGGCAGAGCACGAGCGTCGACGCTGCATGTAACGCCACCGGGGACCGGAGCGGACCCCCCCCCTCCCCCCCCCCCCACCCCACCTCCCCCACCTGCACTGCACTGGGACCCCGCACCGCAGTCGACCACAGAGGAAACACGCGTGAAAGTGTGTGGGGGTGGGGGGGAGAGAGAGACACTCGGCGACACTGTTGTGACTCGCGATCTTGCACAACCATCAGGAAGACGAAGGAATTATTATTATTATTATTATTTTTTGTGTGCGCTCTGCAAAAAGGGGTCATCGATTTGCACCTCCTCCCTCCCTCCCCTCCTCCTCCCCTCCACAACGATTCAACAACAAATAACAATCCTCAACAAAACACACACACACACACACAGCCCCGAGAACCCGGCAGGTGCTGTGTGTGTGTGTGTGTGTGGAGGGGGAGTCTCGGGCCGCTCCGCCGTGAAAAAATGTGCCGCGGGCGACTTGGCCTCTCGCGGCCTCCGTTCCAGTCGCGGCGTTGACAACGGAAGGCATATGCGGATGGCGTCGGGGGTCGGGGATTGTGCCTCGGTAGCGGCGTTCGGCGTGGACGAGCCTCCTCGAAGTTAACAAAAGAGAGAGAGAGCGAGAGAGAGAGCGCGAGAGGAGTGAGAGAGAGAGAAAAAAAAAGGAGAAGAAGGAGGAGAAGAAAGTTGTGGGTGTGTGAGAGGAGAGCCCGAGGCGGCGCGCGGGGGCTGTGGAGGCGGGAGCAGCTCCCGGGGCCAGGGTTCGGATTTGGAACGCGGGTGACGCGCCGCCCGGGGCCAGGGTTCGGATTTGGAACGCGGGTGACGCGCCGCCCGGGGCCAGGGTTCGGATTTGGAACGCGGGTGACGCGCCGCCCGGGGCCAGGGTTCGGATTTGGAAGGCTCGCGCGGGGGTCGGGTCAGGGGTCAGGCGGCGGCGGCGGCGGCTGCTGCTGCTGCTGCGGCGGCGGCGGCTCCTCCTCGTTGTCTCGGCCGCAGGCGATGCTGACCCCGGGGCTCGCGCGCCGCCGCCGCCGCCCGCTGTGGGTGGCCGTGGCGGCGCTGCTCGTGCTCCAGGCCAGCGGCGGCCACGCGCTGCTGTCTGCCGTCGCAGGTGTGCCGGCGCTGCCCGCCATCGCCCTCAGCCTCCTGCTCGGCGTGGCCGTCATGCTGCTCGTCGTCGTGGTTTGTACGCGGGCTCCAGGCCACGCCGCCCGCTCCGCCGCCTCCGCCCGTGACCGCAGGGCCCCGCCATCGCCATCGCCGCCGCTCGAGCTGCTGCTGCTGCTGCAGGAGGAGGAGGAGGAGGAATCGGCCGCCTGGAAGAAAGCCGGACAGCACGAGGAGGCAAAGAAGAGGAGGAGGAAAGAGAAAGCGAAGGTAACAGCTGAAAGCAAAGTCAGTGTGTGTGTGTGTGTAGAGAGAGAGAGAGAGGAGAGAGAGATCAATGTGGATGGAACTGGTCAATTGCAAAGCTGCTGCTGTGTTTGTTGTGTAAACGGTGCGGGAGTGGGACCAGACCAGTACTTTAGCATCGCTGGACTCTGGGCAAAGAGCAATCAGGGCCACTCTGGCGAGTCTCTCATGGTTGAACTTTGCCACATTCAGGGCCCAGGAGGCAAACACTGCCAACAGACACGTGTAGTGCACACAGTCAGCGATCAACAACAACAACAACAACAGCAGCAGCAGCAGCACGTTCAACCCAGTGCTGGGCGCAGGGTCCCGGCACAGCCCCCCCCCCCCCCCTGTATATGGGGATCCTGGTCCATGGTTGGATATGATGTTATGATTTTGATGGCAATAAGATTCCTCCGTCCACACGTCCCTCAACGAGTTTGGTTTTATTGACCACTGCGCTCGTTAACAGCTCTCTGCCCACTTCACGCGTGTGGCGGTGTGGCTTTTCCTTCGTGTGGGAGGAGCGATCCGGTGGCATCAGATCCGAGTGTCAGTTTTAATCAGATGTTTTTTTTTTCTCCGAGCTGCTGCCTCCACTGGGTTTCCTTTTACTCTGTGTGTTATACCTTCCAGATTTGTGTTTCAAAGCAAAAAAAGAAAGTTGTGAAACCTTCGCAGTTGCAACGCCAGTGAAATTGCTAGTTCTGCACTGAACAGGAGTGATTTACTCCCAAGGTCTGATTCACGCTGCTTCTTAGTGCTTTACATATTATTACAGATCATCCATAGGGCTGTTTTTTTTTTTAAATTTTCCCTTCACAGTTGTCTCTTCTGCACCGACTAAAACGAACCGAGTTTGCTGTCTGGTCTGGTGTAGGGATGGCGTTCGTTGCGAAATGATGTTCGTTTGCATAAGTGGGAACTTCATTCACAAACTCACCTGAGCTCCAGAACTGGACCTTTTTATTAGAAGTATTTTTCTAATCCCTACCAGATGTCATTTGATTTGTTTTTATTTGCAACTGAAGTATCAGTCGTCTTGTCTATGTTAATACTTTTTTGAAGCAGTTTTTAAACTCAGTTACACTTCACGTTAGCACATGAACAGAAGAACTGTATTGTGTGCTTGGCTTTTAAGGTTATTATTATGGAAGTAGTTGCATGATTCTGTCTTAAACATCTGTATACCTGGTCCATTCAAAAGCCCTAAAACATCCTATGAACAGAACAAGAGCTTTGTCAAACCATGGGAGTGAGCCCAGAACACTTCATCCTGCTATATTTATATTTTAAAAAAAGAATCCTTACATTTTCAGCACCTTTGGACGTCCTCCTGACGTGAAAGGCGCTATTACAAATGTAACTTTGTTGTTGCACAAATTGCATGCTCCTGAAATGAAAGTATCTTTCAGGTAATTTCAGGATCAGGACTCCCAACGGAATTATCTCAGTACCTGTTTGATAGTGAATTGCAGCCAAAAGCATAGTGACCTGCCACCCGGCACGGAGCATAAATTCAATATTATTCAGCCAGGATCTGCCTGCAGAGAAATCAGCAGAAAGGAAAAACTGCCTATGCATACAGTTTTTTTATGATATTTAGAAAGAGAAAAAAAATCCTTACATTTTTATAGAGTCCTTCACATCTGGAGAATGTCTCAAAGCACTTTACAAGATATACCGTGAAGTGTAGTGACTATGCAAATGCCAGGGATTTGTACATTTGAAAATTGTAAGTTTAGTCATCTTGAAAAATGTTTTACATTTCCAGAAAACTAAATTATGTATTCTTGTATTCTTGCAACTGCCTTTATTCTTGTATTTTTAAAATGTAAATGTTTCTTCATAATCACAGGGAGAAAGCTTGCCAGTGCGCAATCTCCACATAACTAGTTGCACTAGATATTTTTTGCATTTAGTTAGGTGAGAGGTTTAGCGGCTTGATTTTAGTTTGTGTTCAGTTGATTAGAACTTTAGGTGGTCTGCATTCATTTTCACACTGGTCCTTAATGCTGACGTTGTTCGGTCAGTGATGTTATTTTGCAAATTCTTAAATATTTGATTATAAGCGGTTTGCATTTCCTGTTTCTGAACCAACAAAGTGCAGCAATATAGTGCAGTTAAACAATGTTTACAGAACAAAAGTAGGCTGTAGTCCTTTGCATCAATGCTACTGTTGCACTCTAATATTGTAGAGTAAAAAAAGTACTTTATTGTACTATATTTCTCATAAGCCTTGCATTTTGTCATAGCACCTTATCACATCGTCGAGACACTTCAAAATGCTTCACAGGATATACTGTAATGTAGTCTAGCAATGTTTATTTTGTGGCTGCGGATTCATCCAATTCCTTTTTAAATGCTTTTATAGCTGCAACTTCAACGGCCACTTGCAATAATGAATTCTATATCATAACACTGCGGGGGGGAAAAAAACCTTCTAACTTCCTTTTTTATTCTGAATCACCAAAGTTACCAGTTTACTTTATAAATTAAGCTCGGTTCACAATGGATAAATGGAACTCTTGGTATCATACTGAGCTATACAGAAAAGGAAAGTCCAAGATGTGAACCTTGGTCTAGGCAGTGACAGCTGAAAGCAGTAAGTGAACTGTGTGGTTGAAATTGCGCTTGCCAGAAAAATATAGCCGAAATGTTTAAATGACTGAAATAGCGTCTCAGGAAGTAAAGTGCAACTCTTGCAGGGGACACAACGTATGTGACTCTGACCTGTAGGAAGTTTGCTCCACCAGTATCACAGTCAAACTGAGGTTGGTATGACATGCACAGGGGGTTGATTTTCTGCAGAAATTCCACTTGACGTCTCAGTTGTTTTTTTTCCAATGTCGAGGTGTTCTTTTTGCTACTGTTTTTCCACAGTGTGCATTTTCAGCCATCAGAATCTCCAGGGTGGAAGAAGGCGGAGTGGAAAGTCACTCAGGGTTTCTGCTTTTGGATCAGAATCCAGTAGCACATACTGGAAAAGAGGACTTGTGTGGATTATTGGTGAAAATAGAATTGGTTTTAGTCATCATGCCTTACATGGGGGAGCAACTTCATTATACAGTGTGTAGGTTTACTCAAATTAATAGCATAAGACTGAAATCTACTGCAATGCTGTATATCATAATTGTTATCCTCCTTGGGGGGAGTTAAGTGGGGTCTCCTTGGAGTTGAACTGGCCCCAAGGTGACGTGCAATGTTGGAATCGAGCCAGCCCTCTGGCACTCGGTAGCTCCGTTCCTGAGCCAGGCGGGTCTACAGTATCCCAGGGCACTGCTGATGACAGCACAGCCCGCCCGGCTCATGGAAGGACAGACTGGGGGCAGGGAGTCATCCCACTCAGCTCCTGTTGATTGTGCCAAAGCTCTAGCAGGTAGGGTGGGCAATCTGGACAAGCAGCGGGAATGCTTGCCAGACAGTGATATCAATGGCAAGCTATGCGATTTTAGCTGGTTAGACTCCAGCAATACCCTAACGCACATTCTGGGGACCCCAAGCCTTGGCTCTTGCCAAACTGCGCCTAATACTTTCTAAAATTAGATAAGCAGGATGCATCCCTACAGGCAGAGAGTGTGTGCAATTCCATTCCAGCAATCTGTCTCTGAAATTTCTATGTGGAGGTGGGATGAATGGGATTCTCAGTTTAGTTTGGATGCTCTTTTAAGTACGGTGGTGGGTTCCCACATGTGTTCGATACCCCGCTGACAAAAAACAATCACAGCTTTCAGTTGAGAAGGGTAGAAATGAGAAAACTTAAAAAAAACAATACATCTTTTCTGATAATCGCTTCAGTGTTGCCACACCAGCCATCAGTTGTTTGTGTACTCTGAGATGAAACCCTGTTATTAACGCTGCATGCCAGTTAATGGGCATTATTTACACAAGGCCTCACATAATCTCTCAAACATTCCATGATGTTTGCTTAAAGTGGTAATGGATCACAGATGCCAATTTCATATTTTAAAAAAAAATGAAAAGTTTGAAACCAGCATGACTAAGAGAATCTTTTGTTATGTCGCTGTTTCTCAACTACTTGAAACAAAAATAAAAGTGTTGAGGGTTTTGACTTGCATTAAACTCCTTCCTCTGTGCTGCAATGAGAAGGAGGTCAAGCCTCACAACTGCCACCCCCATGAAACGTTTTCGAATCAGATTTAGGACACCACTCAGTTTGAGCCCAATGTATAAATTGTACGCTGGATGTCAAGTTGACATGAATAATTCTGTAACGCTTGTTTGAGAAGGGAATTTCTTCTGCCCTGGGCATCAGTGTCCCAGATCAATTGCTCACTTACCTTGTGGCTTTTAATGAGATCTAATCAATGCAATTGGCTGCCTGCAAACACAGTCACCACACTCGACAATAAATACTGATTGCAGAAGCCCTTCAGCTGTTGGAATCATTTCCATTCTGTGTACTGATAAGCAAATTCAGCCACGTTACTTGTAAACCAGCCAAGGGTATTATATAGCAGAAAGCTCAGCAATCTGTTTTCCCCTCCAAAGAAGGCAAACTGTTTCAGAAGTGTTCTTAGTGAAGAAAGCATTGCTGCAGTAATTACCAAATACAAGAATGAATAGCTCCTTCAGTGTCTTCTTACTTCATTATTGTGCTTGCTCTTTACCACTGGTATATTTCTTCAGGTTTTGCTGCTAATGCAATTTATATNAAAAAAACTACTGTTATTATTTCTCACTATGTATTCTAAATGTGTGAATAGTTAAGAACATTGTGCGTTCAAACAAATGCAACAGCAACTTGCATGACAATTTCAATAGAATCCATTTTCTGTTAACATTTAAAATTTAACAGTTTTGAACCTTCAGTTTAGGGTCATCACTTACCCATGAATTCCGCAAACAAGATTTTCACAAAAGTTTAATGCTCCATATTGTAAAGAAAAAAAATCTTGTACTTTTATGGTGTCTTATCACATTGTAACACCTCAATGCACTTTAAATCCTGTAATTCAGTG